TGCCCAGAAACAAAAAAAATGGTGTTTTATGAGGCACAGCAATCATGAAATTCCCCCACTAATGCACACTGGTTTCTCTTGTTGTCTGCTTTGTGCACTTGTTTTCTTTAAAAAGCATACTGAATGTGAACATAAGCATGCATTTGTGTAACAGTTGTGAATGCTACCGGATGCTTGACATTCTCACAATGCTGACTCATGTTTAGTTGTTGCATTTTTTTATTTGTCACACATTAAATGTGTAATATAACACGTAGCATTCTGTTTTACATCATGGTACTCTTGTGTGACTGAGGTGGTAAACACAGTCAGATATAGGCTCTACTAAAGGAGCTCTATATGATATTTATTAATACAGCAGCAAACAGCTATTTGTTATATAGAGATATAGAGTAATGGTGTCCTGAGCAGAGAATGAAGTCGCTGTGTGTGTGTGTGTGTGTGTGTGTGTGTGTGTTGTTATCCGAGCTTCTCTGTAGATGGTCTGGCTGTGCGTGCATGTTCATGCAGGTGAGTCCCAGTGTAGGTGTCCCACTGGCTAGCTAATCACCACCACTCTGCAATGCACTCCTACAGTGATTACCGCTGATATCAGGACGGTGTTGTCGTGTAAGCATAGCAGTCACCCTCCGGTCAGTTTGAAATATCACTGGCTCCAAACTGAGGCTGCACTTTTAGCAGTGATACGCCGTCGGACGCCGTCAGTTTGAAATGCCACTGGTAACAACATAATAAAACAGCTGGAGAGCTCCTGTAGGACAGGCGGGAGGGGAGATGGATGGTCCCAACAAACTCTGGACTTTCACCCAGACCCCTGCTGTTTGCTTCCCATGTTAATGTTGAGTCAACACATTCTCACTCCGACCTCGTCACATATTGACGTTTGGTCATCGACTTTCCACGTCCAGATATGACGTGCAAGGTACCCTGTGTACATTGGTTGTTGATGTTCTGGGACGCTGTGTCAAGTTATGCCTGTTACATGCATTGTCGTCTTTCAAAATACACTTCTTTTTTCACAGGAAATTTAGTATTTACATACAGTCTTTTTCAAAATAAAAGCACTACATCAGCACAACACTGCGATTTGACGCTTTCTTTCCTCTAACAACTAACACTCGTGGTTGGGTTTAGGCAACAAAACACGTGGTTAGGTTTAGGACAAAAGAACAGGGTCTGGCTTTATAATCTTGCAGGATGCAAGCACCTCTCTCCCGGGTGAAAGTGTGTTTGTTGGACCCATCCATCACCCCACCCAGCCACCCTAGTCGGACTTTCGCCACCTTAACTTTTTTAGATGTGAAAGTCCACCGACCAAGCGGCAATATTTGACGAGCTGGGATGAGAACGTGTTGTACAAGTTGTGCTACCAGTGTAAGATTAGCCCTGTGCTAAATGAAAGCTTTTCATACACATTGCTAGAGGCATGAAAACTGCTTTTTTGGGAAGTTCAATTGAAAGTGAAGGTAATATACTGAAATAAACCCACAAAACATCAGGTCTGCTGAATATAATTATTTTAGAAATATATAAATATACTGTATACAATATTCATCTTTAAAAATGCAGATACAGCTTGAAGCATAAAAATGTTATTTATTCTCTCTGTGCAGATACAGTATTGTTTTTGCAGGTGATTTTTTTTTTTTTTTAAGAATTTCAAGCCTCTCCTTTTTGTTTTGAAGCTGCAGGGAAGCTGTTTTAACTAGCAGGGAATATTTTGGGGTGCTGTTATTGGTCCAACCTTGTCAAATATTGTTAGATAAAACATTTCCTTGAACTCCCCACTGACTGAAGCTGAGGCAAAAAGCCACAATTTGATGGATGTCACAAAAAATACCAGTAAAAGAGTAAAAAAAAGAAAAAAAAAAGAAAAAATTAAAATATTTGATTTGGAAAAAGTCTCTGAAGTGTGTTGTGTCCCATGTGCCTCATTTATATTTACTCCCAGTGTTCAAAGTGACTGTCAGCGTGCGGGAACAGGCAGAGCTGTCATTGGTTGACAGACGAGAGCCAGATTACCATACAAGGAATCATCAACATCAGACCCCACTAACAGTTTTTTTCTCTCCATGTAACATCGCCGACCTTCCACCTGTGTGCTATTTTGACAGAGTTTAAAGGAATGACACAAACAATATGTGTTTCACACCCACACGCAGCGCACGCATGAACAGACGCTCCCCCACACAGAATACGCGCACACAGTGGGACACAAATGCTTACATATGCAAGAATCTAAAAATAGCTTGAGGTCAGGCATTAAAAATAGACCAGAGAAAATAAAAGCAGGACTCGTTCGACTGAGTCTAAACGCTCTGACAGTCTGTCTTTCTGCATTTGGCTATTTGTGGCGGACGCGGGCAGGCAGACAGGCAGAGAGGGGAAAGGCGCTGGAGATGAAAAGACGGCGAGCAGTGAGTTGCACTGCAGTTCTGCTGCCTCTCCAGCTGGCTCCCCGGCTAATTAGAATGGGGGAGAGCACGCGTGGAGGAGGAGTGCAAGCATGAAGCCCACATCATTCTCAGCTGTACATGCTCCTGTGGTCAGAAATGCAGCTTCTCTGCTTCTCCCTGCTCGCCCTTCAAAATTCAGCTGTCTGGATAATCAGATGTGGCACATTGGGTGATGGACTCCTCTTAAGCTTATGGAACATTTTGGGGCATTTACCAGCACAGACCAGAGAGGCTTCAGCCTGGACTGTATCTGAGCTCCGTTCCCTCAAGCTGTTTCACTGACCTAGTGTAATACACTGAAGTGTGTAACATACGAAGGATAAAAGGTCAATTATTCAGAAATAATTAGACACAGGCAGTCATTTAACCACAGGCAAGAAAGACTTTCACTCAGCAGCAGCGGTGAAGGAAGTATTCACATCCAGGAACTCTGTGGGATTAAGCTATTTTACCATTCAGTGTTTTTAGGCACTATACTTCAGTTTTATGCGCAAATGGTTTGAGTTACATCCTTTTTACTTTATTATAATCCATTTAATCTTTTTGTGTTTGTATGTTCGTGATCCATGTAAGATTACATTTTTTCTTTATTTTCAGCATTTTTAGTTTTGTGTGTACTTCTAAAAGTACACAGTGGGAGACCATGGAAGAATTACTGAACAGGTCTACTGGGCACAGGCCCGAGGGCCAAAAGTAACCTTGGCCTTCACCTGCAAACTGTCACTTAAAGTAAGACTTACCAACCAGGAAGATACACAAAAAAAGATGCAAAGGAAAAGCAAAGAGGCACAAAATGACTACAAAGAGATACAAAATAACCAAAAAGACACTAAGTGACCCTGAAGACACATAAAATAAATACAAAGAGGTATAAAATATCCAAAAAAGACACAAAGCTACCTACAAAAACACACATTAGCTCAAAGAGAATCAAAGCTACATGGACACACACAATGACCATAAAAGAGGCCAAACAGGAAAAAAAACAACAAAACAACAAAAAAGATGCAAAATGACCATAAAAAGACATACAATTACATCAGAGAGACTCAAAATAACTATATATATAGGGACAAAACAACCAAAAGTAAACACAAATTGACTTCAAAGAGACAAAACGACCAAAAAATACACAAAACTACTTAAAAATAAACCAAATTACCTGAAAGAGGCACAAAACAACTATAAAGAGAAACAAAATAAGTACAGAAAAGGGGCAAAAGAACCATAAAGAGACACAAAACAACCAAAAGACACAAGATTACCTAAGAAACTCACAAAATAACTACAAAAAGGGGCAAAACAACCAACCACGATAAGAACTACAAAAACGGCCAAAAAAATAACTACAAAAAGGTGTGAAATAACAAAAAAGACACAAGACTACCTAAAAAACCCCCACAAAATTAGCTCAAAGAGAATTAAGACTACAAAGACACACAAAATAATTACAAAGGGGCAAAACAGTAACAGATAGGCACAAAATTATGTCAGAGAGACTCAAACTAACTATATAGAGGAGCAATGCAACCAAAAGGACCCACAAATTGACTTCAAACAGACAAAACAACCAAAAAAAAAACTACTACTACTGCTACCTAAAAAAGTACAATTACTACAACACAAAAAGGTGTAAAATAACCAAAAAAGACAAAAATCTACTAATAAATCCCCAAATTACCTTAAAGAGACACAAAATAACTACAGAAATGGTTCAAAATAACCATGAAGAGACACAAAACATCCAAAAGATACAAAACTACCCAAAGAAACTCACAAAATTACCTCAAAGAGACAAAATAAAACACAAAATAACTACTGTGACTATAATTAGATACAAAAATGACCAAAACAGACACAACATGACTGCAACAAAAAAGAAACAAAAACCACCACCAAGTCTTTGTGTGTGTTTCCAGTCCTGTGTAGGAGAGGTGGTGGGGCCTTTTTCATGTCTGTGCCCAGGGGCCTGTTGTCTCATTATCTGCCCATGTGCAGGACAAAAGCAGTTTACATGAGTCACGGTACCACGATGTTAAAAAGCTCTGAAATACTTTGACACGACTGTATCAAAGTAGGATCAGCAAAATGTTCTCAAGCATCAAAAATAAAATGCAAAACTCATAGTATTGTGTTATTAGCCTATTGTCACTGCTGCATTAACTGTTGGAGCTGGTAAAGATGGAGATGGTTTGAACTCCTTCATAAACCGTTGGGTAGTTTAGTCTCCAGTGCAACTGTGTTTCAGTTGCATTTATTAAACTTTGACATGGCGGGGAACAGCAGCATGTAAACACAGCTGTATACATCATATTTTAAAATATTAATTTGCACAGTAACCACAACTGCCATGTAAATGTTATGAAGTAAAGAGAGTACAAGTAGCTCAGAACTACGGGTGCAGCACTTGTCACTCACACACATCAGTGTACTGTATGATGGGATCTCACCAGTGATTGTTTCTGCAAATGTACCCACACGTCATACCGTCTCTTTCCATCCTTTCACACATGTTTTTTTTTCTTTTCTGTCTTTTTTCCACAGGAACCTGGGGAAATCAGGCCTACGTGTTTCCTGCCTCGGCTTAGGTGAGTTGGTTTGAATGCAGGAAAATATTCATCTCACTTTCAACCCGTGAAACAAAACCAACGTCTGTGTGTCTCCTCCCGTTCAGGCACCTGGGTGACATTTGGATCACAGATCTCTGATGAGGTGAGAGCTCCGTCGTCACTCTGTTTGTGCGAGGAGTCGATTCCCGACACCTTCACTCATATTGCTTTTGTGGAAAAACACTGCGAAGGCAGATCTCAGTGTTTTCAATTACAGAAATGTTTGAAAATCCCACAGACCTGATACCTAGAAAGTAAAGTAGCTTGGTGAGATATTAGATATTATCCCTACTGTATTATCCTCACTGCATCGTGCCCTTCACGGGCGACCTCTGTGTAATTGGAATTTGTCCACCGTCCCCCTCTCTCAGTCTCAATTTTTGTGTTCCTCCAGATGGCAGAAAACTTGATGGCCATAGCTTATGAGAACGGAGTGAACCTGTTTGACACAGCAGAGGTGTACGCCTCTGGAAGGTCAGGCTTCACATCTTCCTCCGAGCATCGATTAAAACTTATGCTTTTCTTCTTCTTTTTTTGCAACTTATTTGATTTTCAAATGAACAACATAAAATATGGTGTTCAGATTTTTATAACATATGACATGTTCGCAGAATCCATGATTTAATATGGTTATGAGGTGATCTGAAGTTCAGCCCATCACAATAAATGACGTGTTTCTCCACAGGGCGGAAATCACTCTAGGGAACATCATCAAGAAGAAAGGATGGAGGTGACATTACTCATTTGTCCAGTCTGACTCACATGCATGTGAAAAGCTCTCTGTGACATTATGAATTCTTGAAAGTTTAATAATCCCTTATAATCCCCCATGCTTTTCTGAAACGCACCGCTTGTCCACATGTTTTTGTTACTTTTGGATCAAGTGCACCATTAAATTATCTCAAGGGAAATTCATACTTTTCAGACAAATGAGGAGCTTTAGCCTCAGAAAGGCTATAAAAGGATTAAAATGTTAGTATGTGAGAACACACACTGGTGGCTGACTCGCCCGGCTGCCAAACCTGTGTGGGAAATTCTTGAGGTATTTTTAATCTGGAGAAAAATGTATGGATAAATACAAGTCAGACTTTGAATTAAGATTATGTAATCCATCATGCTCAGATTAAACTATAGATATTTAAGGAAATAAAATACAAGTCGACATTGATTTATTGTGTACTAATGATTGCAGGCACACACAACGAAAACCTATGCCTGCTATTTTCCCACACATGTTAGAAATCAAACTGTCCTTCTAACCCTCTTGTGTCCTTGCCAGGCGTTCAAGTTTTGTCATCACAACGAAAATCTACTGGGGAGGCCAGTAAGTATATCTTTTATAGATATTTTTTTTCGACTGCAATCCTCGTTTTCATTTATCCTTTCAATAACTTGTGTTTTCATCACTCTACAGAGCGGAGACAGAGCGAGGACTCTCCAGAAAGCACATTATTGAAGGTAGAGTAAAAAAACTTGCAGTAAAGTACCTGCAATTGAGTTATAAAGAATCATAACCAAGTACAAGAAGGTTCAGGGTTAGTGCCAGCTCCCAAAGCTTGAGTTTATTAAAAAAAGAAAGTCAGAAAACCAGGAAATTGGTAAATTCAGAGTTCTAGATTATTGCCAATTTTCTTTGTACCGGCTGAACATACGTTTAAAGATTAATTAAAGTTCAAATGTCTGTTTTATTAGATTGTTTTGTGCTTTCACTGTATATAATGTTTCCCAGAGTGTATTAGTGCTACCCTTAAACAGACCCTGAGCTGCAATGAATCACTTGCTGACCTTTTAATCTTTGACTGTGTGCATTGTTTATCTCGCTAAGCTAAAGCCACTCCATGTCACGTGTCACAGTGAATACATCAACACGCCTTCTATCCAATAAATTACAGCTGTGGAAAATAAGAATATTACTGATGGTTGCAAAGATGTGTTGTGGACTATTTGTTAGTAGGTGAAGTGCAATGCTGAAGTGCAATCAGATGAGGCGGGATGTTTACAGGGGGTCAGACGAGGGAACGTAGAGATTAAGTGCTCCAGCGCAAATAACATCCCAGGATCATCAGGATTGTTGTTCCAGCCACTTAATCAGCTCCTCCCTCCTCAGAATAATCCTAAAGAAAGCTACGTCTTATATATGTATGTATGTTTTGTAAGCAGTGTGTGGCCTTGGGGTGAGCATTTACCAGGGAGTTGAATGGGCTGTTTGACCGTCATTGTCACGAGAGGCTTTTGATTTGAAGTCATTATGTAATGAGTGAACAAGGACAGTGCTTATATTTGGACTTCATATTTCACTTCATTCGTGACTTTAATCTCTACATGGAATTCCTAGCATGCCCAAGGTTGGAAAGTTGGCACGCCGGAGACACTGACGCAAAACATTTGAGGAGAAAATCTGGCATCAAATTTCCAAAGCAAACCAAATGAAAGAGTTGAACAGTGTAATTAATCAGCTACTGCTTGGGAATCTGTACGGTCGACATGTTGCGTAGATGCTCTTTCCCGCTTTGCATTCTTACCATGCTGACTTGGTTTCAGGAATGTGGCTTTGTAGATGGCAATTCCAGTCTGCTGGTCCACTGCTATGGTCAAGGTTCAGCAGGGTTGTCCCGACGTTCCCAGGGTCGTATGTTCCCATGGTCCTGCAGTCTTGTGCTGAGATTTGAGAATGTGTGTCTCTTGATATAAACCAACATAGTAAGAGACTGGTAGGGGCTATCTTCACAGTTCAAAATGCAAAAAAACAAAGGGAGATGGAAGTTTTGAATGCAGTTTGAGTAGAGCTGGGGAACATAGATATGCTCACATCTCAGCAACTATTGGATTGATTTCCATGAAGTTTTGTACAGAGTTTTGATTCCTAGATGACGAATCCTAATGACTTTGGTGGTCAAATGACTTTTCCTTTAGTGAATTGCCATTAAATTTGGTACAAACATTCATGTTCCCCGTAGGATGACCTGAATTCACTGATGTGTATAGACCGATGCCGGCACAATGAACATTTTCCTGTTCTAATGTGTCATTTATTTACATGTGTCAGGTGACTCATTGATCTTGAAATAGACAAGATGCCCTTTTTCCGTAGAAAGACAAATATACAGTTTAAATCTGAAACAGTATATGGATTGTATGGAACAAAAAAAAAAATCACTGGGAACAAACCTAAAACATCTTTAAAAACATCAAACAGAGGCCTCAAATTGTTTTCCATTATTGTCATAAAGGGGGGGGGGCAGCAATTGTATCAGGATGGCCATGCCCCCCTCCTGGCAACAATAACTATGTTATTTTATGTAAACACTGTATATACTAGACATAAACATCTTCATAGTGAGCATGTTAGCATGCTAATGTTAGCATTTAGCTCTCACATTGTGTGCAGCCTCCTGGTGTTGTTGCTGTTGACTCTTGGTCTTTTATGACAGCGATGACGAGGTCTAATCACTGACCTTTCTTTATGACAGGTTTAAGAGGATCCTTATCAAGACTCCAGCTAGATTATGTGGACATCGTTTTTGCCAACAGAAACGATGTTAACAGCCCGATGGAAGGTCAGCTATGTTGTGAAATGATTATTCTTGCTTGCTGCAATCAATTGCCTTAAAGTGATCAAAAGATTTATTTTAATATGATGCTTTATATTGTGACTTGCAGAGATTGTACGGGCCATGACGTTTGTAATAAACCAGGGCATGGCCATGTACTGGGGAACATCACGCTGGAGTGCCATGGAAATCATGGTGAAAGCTCACTCTTTATACATTAACACTGTCACATTATGGCACCAATGCTGATCGGTAACCACACATTTTGTTTCTGTCTGTTTGGCACCAGGAGGCGTACTCAGTGGCACGCCAGTTCAACCTGATCCCGCCTGTGTGTGAGCAGGCAGAGTATCACTATTTCCAGAGGGATAAAGTGGAGGTGCAGCTTCCTGAGCTCTACCACAAGATCGGTCAGACACCAACAGTCTCACAGCTCTATTTATCTTTACTGAAGGTTCATTCTGTTTCATTCAAATGACCACCTCTATTCCATTTTTCAGGCGTTGGAGCAATGACCTGGTCTCCACTTGCTTGTGGATTAATCACAGGGAAGTACAGTGATGGTGTACCAGAGTGCTCCAGAGCAGCAATGAAGGTCAGTCTGATTTGAGTGGCCCTCCTTTGGGATTTTTCTCGCTGGGAATCAGCCTCAGTGTAATTCTCTCTGATCAGTGGGGTATTGCAGTGTGAAATCAGCACTGTATCAATGCTTTTCTCCATTTTGCTCCTCGTGAAGGGATACCAGTGGCTAAAAGAGCGAGTGAACAGCGAGGAGGGCCGCAGGCAGCTCGCTAAAATCAAGGAGCTCCATCTACTGGCAGACAGACTGGGCTGCACTGCTGCACAGTTAGCCATAGGTATGACCCAGGCAAATATCATGACTGCACAGTGTAGACATACAGAGACTTGATTTTACAGTTGTGTCAGTGGAGTGAAAACTGAACTGTTTTAGATTAACTTTTTTTTCAAATCTTAAATGTTTTTGAGGCATAAAACTATTGATTCAAAGTGTTTGTTCACTTAATCCACACATAAAAGTTCTTTGATTGATTGTGCAAAGAGAAAGTTAGGCCACAGATTTAGTGCTTCACATAAATGTTCCCTGTATTTGCAACCACTTTACCACTGATAGATCACCTTATGAGTCAATAACATGACTTTTCTATCTATCTTTATGATTAATCAGTAGTGTTTATTTTTTGTTTAGAAAGCATTTTTTTCACTATGTATCCTGCCTGTCTACTATAAAATGTACTGCTTTGGTTAGTAGACCAAAGTGTATTTGGTCATCTGATTATAGGCCAAAATCCCTACTCAAATATTTTTGGTAGACACGTGTTTAATTTGGCCATTTGACACTGTTAAATTTCTGATTGCTGCTAAATAATTCAGATTCATATATGTCCCCTTTTCTTTGGGTATCACTGATATCGCTCAGTATTTAAAGCTTCAGTTGGTAACTTCAATGAACTTTGGGTCATATTTTCTAAAACTGTCTCTGAAAGAAGTACATGTGACAGATAGTCCTTGAAAAATCATGTCCCTCCTCCTCTTCCTACTGCCTCTAATGGCATTTGCTAGAATCCACCATGGCACAGCAGAAACAACCAGCCAAGGAGCTAAGAGCTGTGGAGTCTCTAATGCAGCTGTCAATCACTGTTAGTTTGCAATCAAACTGTCAAACTGTCAGCTCTGATTAAATGTGAATCCAGATTCGGTTACTGCATTGCTTATTTCTAACCTCAAATGTTTTCAGAAACATATTTTAGCGTTAGCATGGTCACCTCACAGCAAGAGGTTTCCTGATTCGAACCCCAGGGTGGGGGAGCCCTTCTGTGTGGAGTTTGCATGTTTCCCCGTGTCACTGTGGGTTTTCTCCGTGTACTTCCTCCCACAGTCCAAAGACATGCAGGTTAAGTGGTGACTCTAAATTATCCGTAGGTGTGAATGTGAGCATGAATGGTTGTTTGTCTCTATGTGTCAGCCCTGTGATAATCTGGCATCCTGTACAGGGCACACTCTCGCCCAGTGTCAGCTGGGATAGGCTCCAGCCCCCCAGCAACCCCAAACAGGATAAGCGGTTACAGAAAATGAATGAATGAATCTGTCTCGTATACTACTATGTAAATATAGTAACAGTTTCAGTGAATGTGACAAAAAGTTGTTTTTATGAAAGTTACCAACTAAAGCTTTTATAACATGACATTTTCCCCTTCTTCATGTTTTATTAACAGTGTTTAATTATTGTTTAGCAAGCATGGTTTGTCCACCATGTATTCTGGCCTGTCTACTATAAACTAATTTGAGTAGTAGACCAAAGCATATTTGGTCATCTAATCTAAGGTCAGATTCTAGTGTGTTTAATTTTAAATACTATAATCCCAATATGTTCACTTTCTTGTGGTTATCACTGATATTATTCACTTGTAACTGAGCACTGGTTTTGTCTCTTTCTTGCAGCCTGGTGTCTGCGCAGTGAGGGAGTCAGCTCAGTACTTCTGGGTGTTTCTAATACAGACCAGCTACTTGAGAACCTGGGTGCCCTACGGGTAGAGCTTCTTCCCTTTTTTCCTCCCACATTAATAATCCTGCCTGACATACTGAACCATAGTCGTTTGAACCATTAGATACGCTACTCTGTGTGCAATTCAAAGTGACAAAAACTGACGAAAAACATATCAGATCACACTTTAAACTGATTTCTCCATTCTTGCAGATTTTATCCCAAATGACCCCTCAAACCATTACCGAGATTGATGCCCTGCTGGGAAACAAGCCACACTCCAAGAAAGAGCTGCGCGCCTGAAGATGCAAATCTGAGTGACAGATGATGTTTCGAGAAGACGAAGAAGACAATGACATTGGGAAACATCGCTTTTTGCTCTGCTGTATACTCAACAACTTGCATGTCCTTGGCAACATTATGCTTCCAGTATGTGCGCATATCCATTTTGCGCAATACATTGTATCATGTATGAAAAAAAAAGAAGATCTCTCAATCGTGAAAAAAAAAAAAACAGGTCATATATTGCTCACTGCCGATTGTTCACAGACTAATTATTTCCACAGAGGGGGAGGATGGTTGGAGCAACAGGTCTCTGCCATCCAAAGAGACCGAGAGATGTGAAAAGATATTCAACTATTGTCAAAGCAGATTTGACTCTTGTTAATCAGATGTTCTAAAGCGGGGAAAAAAAACACACACCTCTGTGCTAAAATGCAACTTTAAAGTGTGAATGGTGCTTTCATTGGACATCAGAGTCTCCTCCCCTCGCAGCTGCCTGTTATTCTGTATGATGTTTAGTACCCAGCAGTCAGAGAGCCAAAGGTTAGTACTCATGTGTCTAGCCTAACATTCCCCATAATGTGCATGTGACTGGTCTGCCACGCTCACTGCTTTACAGGGTTGGGAACAAAGGATTACTTGTTAAGTCATTACAGTGAAAAAAAAAAGCCTAATCCAGTCTGGTATAACTTGAAAAAAACAGCAGAGCACATGCTTTTAAAAAATAGGCAAATTGATGTATTACTTTGAAAGTAAATATTGTGAATATTTTTAAATATATTGAAGTTGTAACTGATTTGAGCACAAACTACTTGATCTAAATTAAAATGAATGAAATGAACTGCAACATTTTGAATTCGGCTTTTGAATTAGAGTGGATTATATCTCATTATTACAATCTGATATTGGCAATCAGGAATCAGTAGTGGGTAAGATTTTGAAAGTAACTTTCCCAACCCTGCTGCTTTCTCAGCAGTCTTTTTGCCTCTTCTGTTTGTAAACTGTGCGCATGTCCCTTTAAGAGAGAATAGCCCTATCGGGGTGTAAATGTGGCATGGCTTTTATGGCTTATGTAGATTTGCAGTGCCCTTGTAAGCCATTTTTTTACTCTAAATGGTCTGGCAGTCTGATCCAGGATCCGTGCTGGCGGGCATTCTTGCTTTAGACAGACTCTCTGCAGTCTGCAGACACGGCTGTGTGTCCATCCGACATATAATCTTTGTATTGTCCTAAACTGTATCAAAAGATGTTGACAGCACTCTCTCTCGACGATGCCGTTCTTGTGAAGAGCATCATTGTTTCTAGATCAGAGGTCTGAGACAGTCGGACTATGTGGAAAGGTCACTGAGCATCTGACACAAGGATTTGGACACACTGTGGTGAACTAGTAGTTTTCAAATGATAGGACATAAATGATTAGTCTGAGTTTATCAAATGTGATATGACTCTTGCCACAGGTCACTTGGGGTAAGATTTAGCAAATGTAACTTCTTTTTTTTTTGTGGAAGCCTAAAAATATAGCTTCTCTGCTCATTTCTCTGGGAGTTCTCTCTCTCTGTATCGTCTTTTCCCTCGATTCTTGCACTCATGCACAACTGGTTTTATACTGTGCATTTTATGTCTTTTCCCTTTAGTTTTGTATTGATTTCAATACTTTGTAATGTGAAGGGGGAATTTGTTCCTTTTGTGATTTTCCCATGAAAGCAGCACCAGTCTCCAGAGAGGGGGTGTGTTTTGATACATGAAGTTGTTTCAGTTGCTACAAGGTTACATTGTTCTGTAAATAGGCTTATCTGTCTGGCAGTGAGATAACGAGATAAATATATCAATCATGAAAGAATCCCTGATGGAGCAGCCGATACGTTGCTCCCCTCTGTGACTCTGTGATGATGTACAGTTCGACCGAGTGTAGCTTCCAGTGTACATAGACACTTCAGTCAAACCTTGAAAATGTAACTTTGCCTGCATAACTTATATTTTACTGTCTTGCAACAAAGAGAAACCAAAAGAGAGAAGAGACAACTCATACTGAATGTATCATGTCTGTTGCTCAAACCTATCTAACCTAAAGAGGCGAAGCACATAATGTCTTTTAAAGGTAGTTTCTTTTTGTGTTTGAACCTGTTACATAAATAGTGGGGGCGGTTGCTGCTCAGGAGGTAGAGCAGGTCGTCCTTTAATCACAAGGTTGGCCGACATGCTCTCACTCCCAACCTGTCAGATACAGCAGCTTGCTCAGTGGCTCTATGCTTCAAACTATGATGCTTTAGGTACCTCTCTAGCATCAAGTTTGGACATTCAGCGACGTTATGTCAGTTATGCACACTGTCTTTTTTAATAAAGTTAACAGGAAACGTAAATTTTTACACCAAAACTCCCAAACTGTTTGGTTAAGTTTAGAAAAAAGATCATGGTTTGGTTTGAGGAAAATTTGTGGCGTAACATAAAGTAGGTTAACGAGTATGTCATGTAACGTATGTGGTGTATATGTATGTATGTAGAAAGAGAACTGGATGCAGCGTTGGAGGCATCCACTTTTTTTACAGTCATCTCTGCCCCACTTTATGGGAAAAAGTCTTTTTGGGCCCAACGACATCACATGATGGACCCTGAAATTTCACGATTTACCCACTATATCACATTGGCGTCATAGTCCAGCACACCTCTTGGGGCCTGGTCTAACTATGTTACACAGTTTCAAAACTCAACATTACTTTTGGTCTCACACAGGGTACAAACAATGCTCTCCTGAATTAAAGTCCTGTGTTTGTTTGACCCATCCACCAGCCCTTGCTGTGAATGGGTTTACATTGGAGTTAACTGAAAGCCTAGTGCGTCTCATACAGATGCTAAAGGATGCCCTGTGCATCAAAATTTGACGCTGATGGCCACTAACCTAGCTGCCATATCTGACACCCTGGGAATGAGAAAGGTTGATAGTTCAATCTCCAGCTCCTACTGTCCACATGTCGAAGTGTCCTTGAGGAAGACACTGAACCCCACACTGCTTCCAATAGGCAAGCCAGCGCCTTGCATGGCAGCTCCGCCACCATCTGCGTATGAATGTTTGTGTGAATGGATGGATGAGAGCAAAGGCGGAGAGGCGCTATATAACTGTAGTCCATTCACTATTAAAAGCTGCAGAGCCGTCGTGCAAACGTTTACACTGGAATTTGGACAAAAGGGTCGTCCACACAGAAGATTCACGCACACTTACAATTCTGAGTCAAAATGTTTATAGAAAGTCAGAAAAGATTTACTATTCACCACTCTGAACCACTGAGTTGAAAGTTAAGGTTAGCTAACCTTCAGTGATAACAACTGGAATAAGCTGTTTATATGTATATGTTCAGGGAAATTAATTTATGAGCTGCATATAAACAACCTATCCCCAAAAACATTAGAAATAGCATATGGGCCACATGATGCTGTTAGTTCTAGGATTATAATCACCACCTCCAGTGCTCCCATGATGGTTTTTAAGTCCCTTCTGTACACTTCACTGAACAACGAAACAAGATTTTTCATTCAGCATTTTCACTTTAGAACATAAAAGAAGCAGCAGCTCATTGAACCACAGTTTTCCTCATTGTTACAACTGGTCAGCGCTCATAACTGAAGCCAGAAAACAAACACACAAGTTGATAACACCCACACCTTAATGCGTATCTCTCGAGCTTAAGTCTAGCTCGAACCCTGAACCAGTGTGGTTGCTCCATTTCTGCACCCAGTGAAGCTCTAAATATGCCTTTGTGTTTGCTTCCTGGTGTGTTACAATAAAAGGATTTGTTTTTGCAATGACGGCAACACGTACCGAGCATGGAAACAGTACCATGATTTTGCCTGTAGTGTACATGTATTGAAACAGAAATACTCTTTTAAATGACTTAAAAGAGTATTTCTGTTTCAATACATATACGCTACAGTACACTACATAGCTAGATTTGGCAGATCAAAAGCTTATCTATGTGTTTCTTTAGAGTGCTCCTTCTCCGAGAGAGCCGCCTGTGAAATCCCACACTGAATACTGTTAGTGCCCATGCAGACGTAGATTAAGCTGTTTCTTTTATTCCTTAGTGTTCCTCATATTGGCAAAGAAATGTTCTGAGTTGACACGACCAGACTTTTAGCTTTCTTGTTTAATGGTTTGTGACATTTAAGACAAACAGCTTTGTTTTGCAGGCTCACTCATTATATGTGTAACAAAGGCCCAGACCCAGAAATTGCACTTTTGAATTATTAACCGTGAGTATATATATAGATAAACAGTTGCATATGAAAATACAAAGCATATAAAGATGTCAAATTTGCACTTACACATGTAACAGTGGGATATATTTTGAGGTTTGGTAAATAATCATTCTAATCCTTGGGGATAATTTATGTAATGGGGAAACTAGGAATACATAACTATCAAGATGGATGAAAAATATAACTTTAACATGCAAATAATTCCTTGAAGTTATGCCAAGCCATGTGATATTTTCACTGCTTTACAAAATCAAAAAATAACTCAGTGTCTGGCAGCTTCACCTGAGGGCCCGGGGGTCACTCAAATGGATGATACAAGAACAATGTGCTAGTTGTGTGTCCAGCACTGATCCGTGCTGCTGAAAGAGCAGAGCCTGCTGGGATGCCACACATGCTTACCACAAACAGAAAACATCTGTGATGCCGACACTGCTAGCCTCTCAGTCACTGGACTCCCAAATGTCACCGGAGTGATAGATAACACATATGTGTGTATCACAGAAAGCCACCCTCTGATAAAGATTATCATATGTGCTGGAAGACGTTGGATGTGTCACCGCCAACGCTGTCGGAGAAAAACAGGTTTCACCGCATGATTCATCGTTCTTGTGAAGAAGCTGGTTGGACAAGGTGATGAAAAACAGAAAGCAAGGAAGTAGCTGGTCAGTCAGACGAGCACATTGGAGATTTACAAGATCCCACATCTAATAAAATACACTTAATACCTTGCCTAGTTGTTGCTTTTGTACCAGTTCGGCGGTTATATAAATGATCAGACACAGCAGTGAAGTACCAAGTAGTCTGTAGCTGCTGCTGTGAACCAAAGGGCACAGATGTCTACTGATATCCTCTTACAACTACAATAATTTAATAGAGCAGGCAATTCATGTCAGTATGAGTTGACCACCATTTAGTACATCTGCATCTGTATTGTGACATTAAATACAGTCAGTGAAGTTTAAGTGGACTTAAAGGGTTGCGCCTGTAGCCAGATCCTGATATATCTTATTACTCTGTACTATAGGCCTCCACTGTTAAACACACACATCAGTGGGCCACTCAATTGCACTGGGTAACCATCCTGCTATCCTGTCACTGTAAAAAAAATAATAATGGATGTAGGTACCGTGACCTCACCCATTGCTTTGTGGTCTCCTGTTTTGAAGCCTCAGGTTTGGCATTTTGGCTGTCGTCACCTTGGATTTTTGGAGCCACAAGGTGACCATATTCAAACAAATTTAAATGGGTGACTTATATAAAAACCCACCCCCTGTACAGCTGCCATGAATTGGGAATTTAGCTAAAGTGCTTTTTTTTATAGTAATATTCTATTTGTCAAGACACTCAGATGGCAAATCATGTCACAACACTGCTATTTTTCATTTGAAAATTAGTTTATGAAAAACTACAACACCCATAATGGTGGAGATATCATATTATTTGGAAAACCTAAAAAATACAGAATATCCAGACTCCATCCTCGACTAAAAGCTCCTTCCTGTCCTTAATTCATCCCAGCTGTCTGCACATCTGCTGAATCACATCCAACTCCCCACAGATCGTTTCACAACAAAAGTCCTCCACATCATTTCAACATGCCCTAAGCCTCCTTTAGCTGCTGAGGGAATTTAATGCTCCCGACAGCCGATAAAGTGTTTTTCATAGCTGCTTTTAAAACCACACCCATGCCCCATCTATTATCCCCTGTCCCTGTTTGACAGATAATTATTGTCCTACTTGTCTTCTTAAACAGATCCCTATAGCAGTAATACCTATAATTACACCACAATCCGAACAAAAAAATTGCACAAAACTGAACAAAACATGAATCGCGTGGTCACAGGTTACTTTTATTTTCTACTAAAATACATGTTTCATGCAGGTTTTGTCACTTTCCACAACAGTCAACAAAAACACAATGAAACTAGTGTGGAACCACCAGGAGGCTTTTTGCCTCACAACATTAGGCAAAGATGGAAGTTAAAGTCGCTCAGTACATTAGTGTGTACAGTAGTGTGTGTGTATGTGTGTGTGTGTGTGCAAATTCCTAGTGGCTTTATAAATAGTGAGTCTTCTTCTACATGCTGTCACATGCTTTCACTTTATAACCAACAGCCAGCCAATCATACCTGGCCATGATACTGCACTAAATTAATGATGCCTGGGGGAAAAAACCTGTTCAGAAAATCATGCTGAATGTGCCGGAAAATAAATAATAAAACCAAGGGAAATATTGCTTTTGAAAATGAATGTGATAGAAATCTTTGTACAGTACAAAGTAGCCAAAAACGCTCAGAAGCATCTCTCTGCTCTCCCCAAACTCATAGGTGTGGTACAGTTTGGTTGGTCTCTTCATTGATTAGCTGGATGTGGCGAGTAAAAAGTCAATGTTTATCTTCTCTGTCCAGTATTGTTGCCAACTGTGCGGCGCTCACTGTGACCCACAGGAAAGGTTGTGCACTGACAGGTTTGAGTTTAAACAGTGGAGTCGAAGGCATATGTGAATCAGAGTATACTAAATGTAAAGGAGCGACTGAGCATGAAGGAAACTCTACGCTCTACTTTACAAGGCCTGCTATGATCTTCGTACGAAAATAAAAAGAGGTAGGCAAATTCTCTCCACTGCTCAGAACACACTGACAGTTTAATAAGATGCAGAAATGGGCATGAAGTACTCGTCAAACATGCTACACACAAAGCCTGTTTTTAAGATGACAGTCCAGCACAGCATGCTCGCAATCAGCCACCCAACCTATTAAAAATAGTTTCCTTCCTTACACGACTGCTTGCATATTAATACTATTAAGACTTGGATTACTTCTTCATGTAAACAAGGAGACAACAAAACACACGACTCATGCATGCATTATCATCTCCAGACTGTAGAACAACAGTAAACACAGACAGATGTTACTGCACAGCATATTTAGTGACTTTTGCTTGGGTTTTTAGGTTGCGGGAGAATGTTAAAGAGCTTTGTTAATACAGAAATAAAGCAACCGCACTTCAGCGCATCTTCTTGTCTTTCTTGCTGCCTGTCTGCATGACATCATTAAGGGTAAACGACAAGAACGCGATCTGCTCAAGTTCACTTTCCTTCCCGCACTCCATCAGGCAGGAAAACTGATCCTTGTCTCCGTTGTAAGCCAGGTCGGAGTAGCCGCTGGGCCCGCTGTGGATGATCCTAGGCCTGTCCCACCCTGAGGAGTGCAGGGGGGATCGGTTCAAATACACGCCCATGTCCCTTCTGCCAGACTTGTTAGTTGGGTGGATGAAAAGGAGCCAGGTTTGTGTGTCTGGAGACAGGAGCGACGTGCCACAAGCTTTGCTTTCAGCGTCATCGTTGGGGACAAACTCAGGAGCAGGAAAGCCAATGACACTGCCTTGACAGCCTGAAGGTGGCTCAACAAGCTCTGAAGCAATGTGGGGTTTGTCAAAATACACACCGCTGTTCTCACTCAGGGCCTCACACCTGTGGCCTCCAGTGTTACGAGCATTGCAGTAAAGATGACTCCTGCCCTCGTGGTCTATGATCTCTGCCATTTCACATTCGCATGACTTTTTCCGAAGCATCTTACCTATTTGCCAAGTTTGGCCAAAGTCCGCGCTATAAAGTGACAGTGCACGTGGGTAGACTGTAAAGGGAATGGGGACGGAACAGCATCTGTAAGGGACGTAGTAAGCGTACGCTGGGATGATCAATCTGCCATTTTCCAGCTGCACACCGTGGCCCGGTCCCACAGCGAATGTGGCCCACTTATGGATAGTCTCACCAATAACACTTTCTGTTAAGTCTCTTGCATGACTCCAGGTTTGTCCGTCATCGCTGCTGCTCACACAGCAAAGACGTGCTTTGTTCTTACCTGTGATGATCTGCCTGCACTCTGAGGTGTTTCCCCAGATACAGACGAAAAATAAAAACAGTGTTTTGTTGTTTTTTTCATACACAGGGCAGGGATTCATAGTGCGGTGGTTTGGCAGGCATGCTGTTGACAGCTCCTGACTGGAGGACCACTGGAAAAACATGACAAAGGAGAACATTTTGAAAAGATGAGCACATACAGTGATGACAGTATTCAAGTAAAGGTTAATAACGTGGTTATTACCTGAACAGATCCATCATCTTTCAGTGTTCCTCTTCTCATAACAAGGATTTTGGCATCATTGTCAGAAGGCGAGGATCTTTTCTCTGCAAAGGCGAGGAAGGTGTGACAGTGCCTCAGATAAATAAGGGCAGGAATCCTGTATGTTATCCCACTTGGCTCCTTTTCAAACAAAGTTGTTTTGACCGGTTCCTCTCCGCTGCCACTCTTTGATGGCGTATTTCCCATGGTGGATCAGAGCTCCTGCAATTAAATATGTTACATATGCATGTCAAGTCTCGTTTCGTTTTTTTTTTTTTTAAATCTACAACAATCTTTACACTAAAAGAGTTCACACTCCAACAGCTCCTCATAGACACATAGGATTGCATTGTTACAAATTGCATCTAGCGTATATTGTGCGTGCATAACAAAACCCTCACCTTCACTTGTCACTCTTCACATCTGTCACCCTTGGTCTCTGCGTGAGCGGCATTATACCGTCTAATTTCTCGCCACAAAAGGGACCTCTGATGTTCACGACACTGATGCTATGGGTTCATCAGAAAAGAAGACGGCGCTGAGGCAAGAGGTGAAATCACACTCACTTCCGTGTTCGCTTAGACGCGTCCGGATCAAACTAAAAGTCGCGTTTGGCCACCTACGCCAGCTAGCGCTTCAAATATTTAGTATGGCCAGATATTCATTATCATACCGTGCAGGCATGACATCAAAATGACAGACGAGGTGGCTGCTATCTGTAAGAGAGCAGGAGCTATCAGAATCATGTAGAGACGCTGGTGTGCGGTGTCACGCATGCGCAATGTGGTCAACCCCGATTAGACGTTAGTTAGCTTGTGTAGCTAGCTAAACAGTTTAACGGACACGAGTCGAACATAAAGTCGTCTCAGTGAGTAATTTGATACCTTGTGTTTGTATTTGGAAAACTGCAGCATATTCGTGCCGACATATGTAAAATATCTCACAATATATTTGGGTCGTTAGGCGGACTATTATCTTATCATTGAATTCAATCTTTGACTAGCTGGGCTCACGGGTTTCTTCCGCCTTCGCCTGTCATGAAAACAGGCGCGCTCACTTCTTAGCGCCCCCCGCTGGATGGGAGGAGCAGCGCTCGTCTGACATGCTGTTGCTAGGATACTGAGCACTACAGTGTAGCTCCGGATCAAAATATATTGTAGCAAGTAGCCGTGCCAGTTCACCTCGTGAAGAGCGTAATTAACACTTGCATAAAAAGTTGTTTGTGATGAGTGGATTTCACAGGCGAGCAAGATGACTGCAGCAGCGTCCTATAAATTTGATCATGGACACAGCAATCCTACCAAATGTTTCCCAACCCGGACATTCCTGCGTCGAAGGAAAGAAGGTGGGTTGAGTTAAATAAGTATTAAAAAATAAAAATAAAAGTAAAAAACACCCCAGACATTAAAGTAGCATGTTAAAAACTGCAAACAGTTTCTGCTGCCATTGTTTTATGGCATATGCAATTTTATGTAGGCTATATGGCACATTTCATTACACGTAAACTCAAAGTGTTTTACATTGAAAGACAGCAGATAAAAGTATGATAACATAAGAAGCATAAACATAAGAATACAGTATGAGCAATAGTCATCAACATCAACATAATAATACAGAGAAAACAAAAACATCAACACAATCACGTGCAATCAAATGACTGTGCACACACACTAATTAACCATGAGCCTGGGAGAAAAAAAAGTCTTAAATGGACACAGTTGTGCTGAACCCCAGGTCAGCAGGCAACTTGATCTAGTTCTGGGTACAGCTATAAAACCTCTGCCTGATGACCTGAGAGGCCTCATCGGGTTGTATGATAATATCTATGCAGTACCTGATATTGTGCAGAGTAACATGTTGAAATTTACGTGTATGTGTAAGGACTCTGGCTGCTGCATTTTGAATGAGTTGGAGCCATCCGACTGATTGTTTGGATGCTGAATTTGACTTTCCCTGTAGGTGCTGGTCATTGGCTTGTGGCTTACAGAAAGGCAGAGAAACAGAAACACAGGAACGTGCACAGACGAATAAAAGAGACTTGTAAAGAATATGATAGCAACAGAGGGGCTGGTTCTCCTCAAGGTAACACATTAGACGGACCTTTCCTGGTAAGTCACTGAAATATACTTAGGGACTGTTCTTTACGAATGTGGGTGAAGGGGGTGGTGCGAAACAAAAACATTCTTTCTGTCACATATTGATGTTTGGTTATGGACTTTCCACGTCCAGATATGTCATTCAAGGTACTCTGGGTGCATTGGTTGTTGATGTTCTGGGACGCCGTGTCAAGTCCTGCCTGTTACATGGATTGTCTGTTTTCAAAATACGCTTCCATTGTCACATGCAATTTACAGCTTGCATACAGTCTCTTTCAAAATAAATGCACAACATCGCAAACACCACAACACCACAAATTGATGGCTTTTTTCCTTTAACAGCACACGCATGCGGCTGGGTTTGGAAAAAAGAACAGGGTTTGGCTATGGGAAGCAAACACTGGCCTCCTGGATGAAAGTTGGTGGTTGCTGGACCCATCCACCACCGCTCCCACCCACCCTACACGGGTTTCCACCGCCTTAACTTTAGTTGTTTTCCCGCTGGCTGGCGTAAAGAATGACGGCAACCAGCCGCGTATTATGCTGACGTGAAAGGTTGGGCTTTTTTTGTCACTGTCTGACATGCCGGATTTCGACAACTTGGGAGTGAGACTGAGTTGTGTGAAAGGGGGAATCATTTTTTAAGCACTGGGGAGGGATTTACGTCTTTTATTTTAGCTTAGGGGAGGGGCATATAAATAAATGGTTGTATTTTGTAATTATTTTACCACAGATTTGTTTTAAAAAAACATGCAGTTTCTTTAAAATCCCGAAAATTACACCATTTATCACAGCCAGAAATTGTAAAAACAGAAATAATTGTTGGGTTTTCAAATTTCTGTTGGTCCTTGGACACATCGTGTGTGACAAAGGCTTCCATCAGAAATAAAAAACAAACCAAAATAAACCCAAATCTGAGTTTAAAATAGTGATATTTTCAACTTTTAACATTTGACCTTAAAACATAAAAGAGTAAGTTTAAAAATTAAATAACTCATTTATATTAGAGAGACGGTCATGCATTTTCCGCCAGTCACTCAGGGAGGCTCAAGGAAAAATATTTGTAGCTTCAGGAGGGTCAAAAAAAAAAAAGAAGGGGTCACACCCCAGCCGTCCCCATCCTCTGATGAGTAAAGAACAGTCCCTTATGTGACCCTTATTTGACGAATGATCCCATGACCTGTTGCCTGTTAGTGACCCCCAAACAATTTTCTTTTGTAGCTCCAGTTACACTGTGTTGATAAGCCGTATGAGCTCTGTGCTGTTGACATCAGTGAGCAGAAACTGAACTCTGTAAGAATCAATTTTATTTTTTGTTATAAAAAATATTTGGTCGTCTGCAGATTAAAACAATAAAAGGTTTGTTTCCTTACTGTGTGCAGGTTAAGCATGAAGAACTCAAGGTGTTTGATAATGTAGCCTACATCGATGCATCCATTAACTCCCTCTCTTTAGGTGATTATTATTATTATATATCATACACATGTACCTTTAATAAGTTTGAGTGCCTGTTGCAAAAAGTGGTGACTCTCAGAAAATGTTTTCCTACAGGGTCTTTCAGCAGTTTCGTGTCTTTAAGAGAGCTCTCTCTGTCATTAAACGGGATCAGCAATATGACGTTTCAAGCTAGTGACTTTCCTCATCTTAAGGTAAGATGATTTTGACATATACACCAGTGTTAGTCAGAGTCCAATACCAGTATCATAAATGCCATAGCCCGACAGAGCCGCAGCTAATGTAGAGAATTTAAGTGTGTAACATCAATTATATGTTTAAGTGCAATATCTCAGCCTTGCATTCTGCTAACAGGTGCTTGTAGCAATATACATATATCTAAATAATTTCCTTTTATCCTCACAGGTTTTGGATTTGTCCTACAACTCTTTGTCAGCTGATGATATTGTTTCCATTGGGCAGCTTCCACGTCTAAAAGTCCTTCATCTGACTGGAAATCAGCTTCATCATCTTCCTCCTGATCTGGGTTCTTCCAACCATGACACCACTCAGCTGTAAGTATCTTATTTTCTATGAAGCAGCAATGTAGGAGTAACTAGGTACAAAGTTTGTCATGGGATTTTTAGTTCAAAACCATGCCTAGAACATGAGCAGACACCTCAAATGAACAGGTTTTGTCTGTCTTCTTTGATGTATATTTATAAAAAGAAATCCATCTCTCCTCCAACAGTATTTGTTCTGGAGAAAATGGCAAAACTCAAGTACATGATTGATTTAATTAGCGAGTGTGGGCTTGCTTTTCTGTCCCGACTTCACACAGGTCAGCTCTGTCAAACACTGCTTTGTGTAATGGCTGCTTCGCCAGTGAGACGGTGGCAAAAAGCCTACTTTCCATTTAAAAGCTATTCCACAAAAACTTTGATATGAGTCATGGGGAAGCTGGCAGAATGAAAGACAACTAATCTGTTTCGTAATATGTTTTCAGCAAAATGCAAATTCATCCTCTAACTACAGTCTGGGGCTGCCTCCAGTCTGCTCAGAAAATATCCCCGATTGATGTCCTTAAGCAGCCACGTTATACAATATCTGTCTCACATAGTGTTACCTTCCCTTTATGGTTAGTATTTAAAGTTCTTAAACCAGCACTGATGCTAATAATAATCACTGCATTGGTATGATTTCACAACATGAGAACCTGTCCAAAGAGTTTATTTCAGAGAAAGGCCACAAACAAGATGCATGTGAAACAGTTTTTCAAATTGACCAAGAGGGGGTGTACAAATGCTCCAAATTCACACTCCTGATTCTGCTAAAGCAAATGTAATGACACTCAATACACCTGCTCTACAGCCAGGTATATAAAGTCCAGCAGAAACTGGTGTGCACATACGGAGTATGTTACTTTAAATGTATGTATTTATTAGTATGTGGATTTTATGATGTTGGTGATTTTTTTTCTTTTCTTTTTTTGTACAGGCCACCCAAAGAAGAAGACACACAGTTTAAAGCTCTTGAAGTCCTGATGCTTGATGATAACAGACTGACCTCTGGAGTCTTCAACAGTCTTGCAAACCTCAGGAGGTCGTGATGTGGTTTGAAGTTTGCTATATAAAACAAAGTATTACTTAAAGGACCAGTGTGGAGAACTTAGCGGGATATATTGGCAGAACTGGAATATAATTTCAGAGTTGTGTTTTCATTAGTGCATAATCACCTAAAACTAAGAATTGTTGTGTTTTCATTAGCTCAGAATGAGCTGTATATAGTTACATAGGTAGTGGGTCCTCTGCCACGGAGCCTGCTATGTTGCACTGCCATGTTTCTATAGTAGCCCAGGACAGAGAAACCACACACAGGGCGCCTGACTTTGACAAGTGGGTACAGCTGCAGTTGGAGCGGCTACATAATTGCCTACTATACCTACTTGTCAGTCCATGATCAGCCCCTTTCGCCCATTGACCTGGAAGTGGAAGCCATTACAAAATGCTTAGTTAGCAATTAGCTAGCTATGAAGTGTTAGGTTAAAAGAGAGGCAGTTAAGGTTAGGGTCAAGGTTACATCTTATTACTTACAAGGAATACACATCTAAATGTTTCTTTTCAAGTAGATTATTGCTATGTTTGTCCTCATATTTATTCACTACAATGTTGCATTGTAGCACAGTTCAGATAACCATCGTGATGGTGGATTTGTCTTGCACAAGTGGTGGGCATGGTTTTTAGGTGTGTGTTGTGTATGCTGTAAACAGAACGTGTCTGCAACTACACATGTCTCGTCTTTGAAGTAATTGGACATGGAGGCCAAACCATGTATAACAGTGTCCGGGTCTGTCTTGCAATGCCATTTTCCTATAGAATTACAATGGGAAAGACACGCCTGTAAATCAGTGGATAATTTTTTTTGTGAGCATCCACAAAATGACACTATCAGAACTTGAATTCGGTCTGCTAACATTTCAAAAGTCCACAAGAGCCGCATGATTCAATCATTTTATTCCCATTTAAGTTAGTGGAGGGCTAAAGGTGAGGTTAGCCGCTCAGCTGGCTTGCTGTATGGGCCCAACGATGCTGAAAATCCAGGTAATTTTGTGTCTAGGAAATCAAAGTCTTTTGGCTTCATGCATTACTGAGAAACTTCCATCGGAATGAACGTGGCCCTGCCTCCAACACTGCAGCCAGTTCTAATATGTTTACGTCCTTTTGCATTTTTATATTGAAGTGTCAGCTTGAAGTTGACGCTGCAAATGCACCTGAAGGCCACAGTTATCAGTTGGCTGCAATCTGCAGCTCCACCACTAGATGTCACTGGTCCTTTAAGGCAGACTTGTATATCCCTGTGCATAACAGGACCTGTGGGAACATTCATGAAGCATTTCTAATTGTCAATTACAGGCTAAGGTTTTTAAACCTACAGGGGAACCGCATTTCTGAAATCCCATATTTGCAGCTGACGGGGTGTTCAAAACCATGGCAGACTTCTATTGAAGAGCATGCTGGAGAAGAGGGACTTGGTAAATGGTCACCTTGAAGTCATCTGTAAATAACTTAACAATGGACCTGTATGTTAGACTTTTCTCAACATCCTCAGAAAAATATTAAATATTTAGTCACTTTTATCTCCTCATTCCAGCCCACACTGAACCAAATCCTGACACTGGTGAAAATTTCAAGACAATCTCACAGGTAATTTGCTCTAATGATGGTCTTTGAGATGTGTCATCACCGTGTTTCCCATATTTTAATTATCTGTGTTGCTCACCCCAGATCGCTCACAAGAAAAACTGGGACAACCACCTCAAAGGATCCAATTTCCCACTACCAGAGCTTCAGTTCCTGAATTTAGCTGACAACAAGGTGTGTTGGATAATTTGTACAAATAAATCAACCATGACCCCATTTAAAAAATGAGCTAACATGTCTCATCAGTGTTTCGTCATCAGATTGCCGAGGAAGAAGCAGTGATGGCTGTCAGTCTTTTCCCGATGCTCAGAGAAATTGACCTTCACTCCAACCCTCTGACCACAAAGAGAAGTGGTAATCCTTCTCTCTTCTTCTTCCAAGAGTTTTTAAAGATTGACTCTGAATTTTGAATGCTGGATGTCTTTGCTGGGGCACAGGAGACCCTCCGTTACTGGCCTACTACCTCCAAGAGAGACTGGGGATAACGATAAAGCGTAAGAAGACACAGGAAGTTGTGAAGCACCCACTGAAGGTGTCCACTGATCCAAAATGGAAGGTTGGATGTGTTCTGCATTGTCGATTCTTGATCATGACACTCCAGATGTGGCAACATGACAGTTATCTTCTTTTGACATATTTATGTGTTGCAGGTGGAAGAAAAAATCCCAAAGGTGTTGAAGAAGCCAGCATTGATGAACGCACCCTGTCCTTCTCAAACTCATGTTGAGAAAAGTGAGGCGACTGTCGAGAGAACACAAGAATCAGAGGGCGAGAATAGCTGGGACGACACCCTCCAAGAAAACACAGAGCCCTTCTTTGTTACTCAGGTATGTACATGTCCAGTTTTTGTGGTTTCTATATGCCTCCTCTGTTTTAATCTCAGCATTTACTCTCTTGACTGAATGTTATTCATGTTCAGGCAACAGATGTTCCCAAGTACGAGTTTGATCTCCAACCTGGTGAAAAAGAAACCGCAGAAAACAAGGACGATATCATTCCTGAAAAATTCCCATGCTACAAAATGTTGATGGATGCGAAACCAAACCCTGATGTGGTGGAGCCCGTTGGTGAGGACTGCAGTTTCACCTGCAGCTGTTTATTTTTGTACGTTTTCCTCAAGCCTTGAAAAGTTAGAGAAAGAGAATATTCATGTCTTTTTTTTTTTTTTTTTTCCCTCCAGCAGGAATTCAGACCACTGTTCGGATGCTGGAACACGCACTGAAGAATCTTAATATTTACAGAGACTCTAAACCAAAACTTGATAGTATCCAGACGCCATACAGAGGAAGAGAGAGAAGGGTTTAATATTTTGCATTCACACTCAACCTTACTGTCAAATTTTAATAAATCAAGCAAGTACTTTAAAGAAGAAAAGAAATGTCATGACTTTAAAAGAATAACTTTTTTCTACACAGATTAAAAACCTTCCACCTTTGAAGCCAATAAAACACCCCACTGAAAGGGTCCATGAACTGATCAAGGAAATCAAAGAGAGTACGACGATCAGAGAAGTCCCCTTAAGTATGTGCATTTCTGATACAGTGGATGTCAGCTAACTTTACCTTTTCTCTGTGTAACATTTTGTTCTCTGTACAGGCAGTGCCATACATGGCACAGGCGTTAACAAGCAAGAGCATAAGGAAGCTCTGTCCCTGCTGAGTGACATCAAGACTAAGCACAGGATGGTGTATAAGAAATCAATGGAACAAGCAGCCAGCATCAAGTCTGATAGGAACACCAACCAAAGCAGAGCAGACCCCTCATCTGTGCAGACGCTTTAAGTCATATTCAACTGTGGTTTTCTTACTGTCTTGATTAACAACTTGTTGATGTTGAATGATTGATTGATTGATTGATTGAAAACAAACTCATCTTTCACAAATAAAAGTATATATAACTCAACCTACAGCAGTCAGTAGATCATTATGTACATTAGGTATTATAAAAGCTTCAGCCCCTGAGGTTTAGATAACTGCTGGTGGGACTTGTGACCGGGTAGCAACCCCTGAAATTACTGTGATTCTTTCTGTTCCCCTGAGTCCGATTAACACTATGACAAGGACAAACTGATGGTTTTAAGCAGCTGCTCCATCACTGCCGCTGTGACCAAAATGAACCCAGCATGCTTGCATAGTATGCATCAACTGTTTGCCAAAAGAGTTCAGCAGTGATAAAAATTTAACTGTGCCTTCCTTGGGAGAAGCCAATTTGAGTATGTTTGCATAGTGTTTCCTCTGGACCGACCTGTTTCCACGAGCATGTCCTTGAATGCAGCAGGCTACAAATATTAATATGTTTAATTCTGGTATTAGTCAACAGGCTGTGATAATTAGTGAGGTAATGTGGATTCCAGTGCACATCTTGTTTATCTCCATCCTGCAGAAGTGTCCTGAAGCAACAAAGCAAATGTTGCTGCTCTGGCTTCCTTCATTCATCCCACTTTTCACCTTCTGACAAGTGAAGAAAGACAAAAGACTTGTGTAGATTGCTAAAATACCACAATAAAATCCACACTGAGCCCAGTGGTAACTGAAAAATACGAGTGTTTTGTTGACCAGATGTACTTTTTCCAAACAACGAATAACCTTAATGGCATGGTTTGATGCCAACCACTTTGAATGTTCTCAGCTCATGAAATGGTCGCCATCAGTTGTCATCAGAAGCTTAGATTTCAGGTAGTATGGTCCTACTCTGCCTCTTAGGTGGCAACCTCTGGTGGCTGTGGTAATGATGACTGGAGCAAAGGAGGTGATGTACAAAGAGCAACAATTTACGAGAGGAGGTCAGGGTGGATGGATGAGTTGTCGCTGCTGCATTATTAAAGGAAATGGCCACTTTAGAATGAAAATACAGACAGTACTTACTGACCCTCATCCCGACAAGAAGTCCAGTGTAGTTTTTTAATCCACAAAACTCATTCAGGGTATCGGAGGATAACAGCTAGCCGGGTCAGTAAGTACTGTCTGTATTTTCATTCTAAAGTGGTCATTTCCTTTAAGGATCCCACTGCTTCTCTTGGCAAGTCCTGCCCTACTGTACTGTGATTGGCTATGACTAACCCTAACCATGAGCTTTTTGCCCAAACTGCCTTTGACATTTATGCATTAATGTGATGAATACTAGCATCACAGCAAGTAGTGCAAGCCAATCATAGCACTGTCCAATCTGTACCGCAAAACTAATTTGTTCTACGCATGTGTATGATGGTTGGGGGTTAGGTGTTTACCTCGAATAGTCTGGGTCAGGAGAAAGGACCTGAACAAACTGAGTTTTTGGTACGGATTGGTAGTGACATGGGTCAAACAAACACAAGACTTTTACCTGGGAGACCGCTGTTCATGTCCTGTGTGAAACCAAAAGTCAGTGTTGACGTTACGTTGCATTATGTTACGTTACATACGAAAGTATTTTAACCCACACTATGATCTTTTCCTAAACCTAACCACGAAATTTCGGCACCTAAACCTAATTAAAGTGAAACTGAGACCTAATGAAACTGCACCCAATGTTGGATATGCACCTTCTGGCCTCCTGGTAGCAGCCATCTGAAGCATTATAATGGTAGTGATAACAACTGATAATGATTATTTAATACCCTGATAACATGTCAAATGCTTTAACACCTAAAAATCAGCTAGAGAGTATATATCCTGTAAAGTGTTAGGTAATTGGTTTGATAGACCATTGATCCACTGTCCCACAACTGATAACTATGACTAATATCTTTTGTTTTGCTGAGTCTAGTGGACCTGCTCTTATAGGTCTGAGATAGAGCAGTGTGATTGTATGAATTCAGTATCATCTCTCAGTAAAGCGAGCTGTGATAATTTGTACTGGGCAGGAACAAGAGAGCTTAGAGGAACAGTAGTGGTTTATAACTTTAAACAGACGTCTGCAGCTCGGTATGATTTACAGTCCACATTCTTAAACACATAAAGGATAATGTGTTATATACTCCAAGTTGACACTTCATATGTGGCATTTCCAGCGAGCTTAAAATAAATGTTTTTTCATTTCTAGTCATGTTCTGTTTTTGTTGTTCATTCCCCTTTTGATTTCATGGTCTCGTCCTTCATATGACTTCAATTATTCTTCTTCAGAGCAGCTTGCAGATGTGGAATGCAGGTTCAGCCCAGGTGGAATAAATCAATAGGTACTCTGAAGATATTTCATGGGACTCTGCATTCTTAAATTCAAGTGTGGATATTTCCCTGCTTCTGTATGTATTGAATTATAAGTAATATACGTGTGTCACACAGTGAGCACAGAGCTTTCCAGTGGATACTTTATGGTTAATATTTCTTGGATCTTGTCATTCTTTGGCATATGTTTGACATTTTCATTTTTGAATGTAATATTAACTGTTTAAGCTTTCATTTCTTATCCTTTTGAGGGTTGTGGAAACTATTGCAAAGCCGTCTTCATTTATAATCTGTATTATATGTATATATACATAGATAAATATATATCCATATGAAATTCCTCTGAAATGTCATGTCATTCAAAACCAACTCTCGCATTAAAAGTAGTGCAATTTGAAAATCTGATTTTAAGATACCTAACAGATAGATTACGCTACACATTGTAATAAGTGTTAACAATTTATTGTTAGGATATGACAATGAGGTTCACTTTAAACAGTGTTTGGTCTGGCAAATAATTTCAAGTTTTGAGGACATTCTGCAGTTTCCTGATTTATGCGATGAGGCAAACACCTGGCCTTTAGTCCGAGGGTCCAGTTTGGGTCTTTTCATCTTTAGCGGTATATTTGATGGTAATGAGGACACTGTGCCAAATGGCAGAGATTTGACACGCTGCAGAAATACTATTTTCCAGTCCGCTGGAGCTCAGCTCTGCTCAGCAGAGCTCGTTTGTTTTGCAAAGATATCCCACAGTATCAGACACCACAGCTGCTAAAAATATCTGATGCCCAATGTTATCAAAATCGTGATAAATCTCTTCAGAATTATTGTTTTTTATCCATAATACTAATTCTCTTGGCTCAATTGCAACTCCACTAAAGGCCATCTGAGGATTTGTTGTTGCTTGCAGTGAAAAGATGGAGTTTGTTCTTCAGCCAGTGAGTCCTGGCATGAATTTATTTTTTTTGCCTGAACAAAAAGCTGTTACTGAGTAATTTTGAAGTGATAATGATTAGTACTTCAGGCGTCCACGGTTCGGTTGCATAAGTGCAGTGTTTTCATGCAGGAATTCTTTGATGTAAAAAATAAATAAATAAATAAAAAATGGACGTACTATTGTGCAAGAGGTTGTTATGTACACACGTATGTTTCCACAGTTTTGGGCAATAATCAGTCACAGTAAAAGCCTTTATATTCTAAGCAGTCAGTGGGCATTCACTGATTTCATCACATAAAACTCTTAAGTAACAGAAAATCTGAAACAATTTCTCCCCACATACACAAGTTAACAAGATGGGGAAGAATAGTATGATTGTGGTCAGATGATTACATTTCTGCTTTTGTCATTACTTATCTCTTGATGAATAAACCTTTTCATTGTCTGCTTGTGTCAACTATTATAAACTCCCGGCTGTTCCTGCCACTTTTACACTTCCCAGATCACTTTGTACAATACGCACTACCAATCGATCAATCATTTGTTTGAACAATTAATCAAACAAATGAAATAAGTTCCTAATTATTCCTGGTCACACACCCTCACCACTACTTTTGACTTCAATCCTAAAAGATGTTAGCAGTCAGACGTGTAAAAACAAAACCATAATTCCCTTTTGTGTCTGATCAGGCAATGAGTTTGTAATCAAAGTGAGTCAACATTGTCAAGAAATACCATCAAACAGAACATCTGTTAAAGGGATAAACGGTCATTTTATATTGTGCTTCCATAAAGTCGGTTGACTCACAAGAGACATACCACAAAAAAGAACAATCAGAATCAAAGCAGCGAAGGTTGAGATATCCAGACTCTTAGTCCCTTTTGGTTCAAGCTCCAAAAACATTGTTCATTTCCCATAATGCAACTTGATCATCATGATCTTCATATTTCATTGAAACCTCCCTGTCTGGTAATTGCCCATAGACTGAAGGTGGAAGTCACAGCTCCACTTCCCCCCACTGTACAAAAATGATGCCAAAATATCCTAGATAGGCCCACTGCCATCTTGTGCTGGGAATGTCCTTTGGAGGTGTGTGTAGTGATATCGAGTTCCCGCCCATACACCTGTCCAACCAATCGCAAGCAGCATCACTGATGGTGAGCATACTAGTTGGCACACATAGCTGTCAATAATGACATCGATCCCCCATTTTCAACACCAAATTACTAGTTTTAACCATCAGAAAAATGAACTACCTAAAATTACAGAAACCATCACTGGGAAGAATTTATTTGACGTGTACTTGGAGCTCTTAGTTTGGCAAATGTCCCATCTACTAATATGGAGGGGCGGAGTTTAAGACCTATACTGCAGCCAGCCAGCAGGGAGTAATCAAGATATTTTGGCTTCACTTTTGGGGAGCTGTCATATCATTCATGATTATATAGGCTATTGTCTGTGCTGTAAACCCAAGCTGAGATAACCCTGATGACATCACTATGACACAATGACATGTCTCCTCTTCCTCCCACTTACAAAACTGAAGCCACAATATCAATTATATCAATTATACCAATTATACTGCAGCCAGCCACCAGAGGGTGATGGCTGCACTTTATGGGTCATGTGTCATGCCCACCATCTTTTCACCAAACTTCTCCCATGTGCCAAGCAGTCACATTTTCATCCCGATCATGTCACATGTCACCACTTGGGTGCATCTGCTGTTGACGTTCTAGGGTGCTGTGTCAATTTCAACCTGTTACATGCACTGTGTCTTTTCAAAATACACTTACAATTTCAGGTGAACAC